TCAAGGATTCAACAAGATTTATCCACTTATTATGGTTGTATATACACTGCTAGTTGCAAGCAATTTCTTTGACCGGATAATCAGTTTCTTCGGAAACTGGAAGATATTTAGATTCCAGACGGAGACAGATGATATGGATGGTTTTGATCCATCAGGGTTGCTGATCTTGCAGAAAGGTAAGCTGGTTACTGGAATTTTTTTTGTTCTTTGGTTTTTCAGTTGGAATGCAAAGCTTGTGGTCCACAGGGCAGCTGGAACTGGACTATTAAATTGCTTTAATGTTTTTAATCATCTGGATCAGTTTGAACCGAGTATGTTGTCAATTATGATGCACCTATCTTCTATCTTTGCAGAACGAAGCTGGCTTGAACAAGGACGCAAACTTGGTGAACATGTTTTGCCACTGGCAAGGAATTTCAACGGCGTGACAGTGGATCTGGAGTCTGAAGGCAATGCCATTGTATGTGATTCATCTTTAAACTGCATTTGGATATCGAGTAGCTCAGAAATATGTATTCAGAAATTTCCAATAAGGGAAAGCCGGAAAGGAAGCAAGATGACATTTCCTTGCTTGCATAAGTTGAATGGCAAAGAAGGTTTCAGAAAGAAATAGTGGCTGTTTTCAACTTCCCTTCAAAAGTTTTATTAACTTCAGCCCTGACATAATTTGGAAGAACTTTAGGGAAACCCTTTAATTGCTTTTTCCATATATTTAAGCAGGAAAAAAAGGCAACATTGTACCACATCCTTTCCCTTTTCGTGTCAACCAGATGGTATCTCTTATGTCTTTACTTGAGTTCATAAGTACATCCTTTAAGTATGCTAGTTTGTTCTGTTTTTAAGTGTTGAGACAAACCGGTGCATGCATTTCTCATGAGGAGAATTTTATTTTATGCATGTAAAGTTTATTCTAATCATCGATCTATGTGCCCATGTCCTGTCAAGTTATCTGGTCGTATCTCAGTAACATGTCATATTTCAGCCTAGTTACATTCACTTAAATTTTTCAGGATACAAGTGATTTTGAATTGAAGGCATCGTTGGAATCAAGCAAGGAGAACTTTAGAGGAAGTTCTTCAAAACCTTTGAGAGATGATGCCCGTAGGTATTCAGGGAGCAAGGAAGCAATTAGCAGCAAATATGCTGCCTTGAGGGAACAGGGCAAGCAAACATCTCATGTGAAGCCAATGGAGGATGTAGGCTCTACTAAGGTCTCTTTACTCGATTCTGCCAACCCTCGCTCTGGCAGCACAGCAGCAGCCCCATCTGGTTTGGCTGGAAAATGGGCATCTATGAAAGTAGGTTTCCAGAACTTCAAAACAAACATTGAAGCAAAAAGGTTAATTCCATTACGCCAAGTTGGTGAATTTATTCCTTTACGTCAAGCTCAGGATACCAATGTCTCTCGTGCCTCCTCATCCGAATCTCTTGATGATATATTCAATAAATTAAAACGACCTGCTGCAGAGAGTGAAAACTACAGTGATGATGATGGTGATGAGAGAATACCCAGGAGGTGATACTGTAAATTGTTTCCCATTTGATGGAATATACTTGTTGATATCTGTAGAAATCAGGAAGAAATGAGCCAACAAGATGTACAGGACTCTGCGAGACTATCAGCTGCTTATTCATTCTTTACAGCTGACTTTTGATGTAGTTGAAAGGGCCATGCGATAAGATAGGAGCCACGCAACTGGTCAGGGAGTGATTCCAGGATCACCCAACGGCTAATGGCATAACTGTAGGGGTGTAGGTCATATGAAAGCTGAGATACAAATTCAATCCACATTGATGAAAAGAAATCCTGTAGGTCAGTGTATTCAGTTTGTATAAGTTGATTCTTGTATAATTCATGTACTGCTAAATTTTGAGGGTTTCTGTGTTTTGGGGGCGGGATGTTGATTACATAATCTGATGGTTATATAAAATTTTGGTCTGTCACATTGGTTATTGACAGGAAAGGTTAGATATTAAATCCACGGATACTTCCTTAATCATGAAAATACCTGTATTGTTTTAGATCTGCTAGTATCTGCTAGTTAAAGGTTTAAATTGTAGTCACAGCTGGATGTGCTGTTATTTCTTTTTGAATATAACATATCCCATGAGAATAATATGATGAGTAAATTGTTCTATAACTTGTAGACACTTGAATTTTATTGGATAAAGTTCATATAGAATTTGGGTTACATCCAAACTGCAAGACATATTGGCCTGAACTAAAATTATTCGTCTATGGAGTTCGACTGATTCTTTAAAGACCAATTACATTGATTTAACAGAAATCAGACTTTCCTTGGATTACAGTATCTAGTTATGTAGCTCAATGTGTCTAGTTCGTTTCAAGTATGAGGCTTACTTGTTATCCCCAAGTCAAAATCTAGGCTAATCATATAATGCCGCGTGTTCATTTGTGTGAAATGTCCTGTCATATTGTAAGTTCAATCAAAGTTCATCTGGTGTTTAAGTGACATGGTTCGACCAATTAGATATATATATAACATGTTTGAGCAAGCTTTTGCGAAACTAGAAGTGTATTCTTTTAATCAAAGAAAAGTGTTTATCTTTGATAGTTAAGTTATGAGGAAAACTTAAGTGTTTTTGAATAGCTTTCTAAGTATCTTATAATTTGTTCTGCAATCAATTCATCTTTCCAACTTTTTAGTGTTTAAAATAAGTAACCAAGCTATGTTTGCTATTGATATTCTCTGAAAAGCAGAGACAGGACAGAATTTTAAGCTAGTGAGTGTGTTAGAACTCGTTTGTCATGAACAGGTACGAATTAGTTAAGTATAAACTTGTGTTAGTAAAAATGTTTCAACCAAATATTTCAATTCGAACCTAAAGCATTAAGTGCATCTCAACTCATTATCTGAGGCTAGATTTCTACTAATGAAAGAGTAGGCTTCAGCCTTCATTATTTGACAAAAGTGGCATACATAACTACCTAAGCTAGGGGTCAAATTCCTTCCCCCATCCCCCACCCCAAATAAAAGGTAAAAGGAAAAAGAGATCAAGTAAATATTGATGAGAGGATATATGCACTCAACCCTTAATGTTAGGGGTTTTGAATAATCAAGATTAGAGATATGAATAGGACATTGCCAAAGTTGAGCCAAAGGCGATTGTTCAATGTCCAATCCTACAATTGCAGTAACCATCAAACAAGTACATATCGCTTCCTTTGACCAACATCTTATAATCCTTATACAGCAAGTAAAACGTACAACATAATATACATCATGTATATCTATAATAACATTGACAGAACAGCAATCCTATTTTACCTCTCCAATCCATTTCATAAAAGTGTATATATGTAACTTCTGCACGTACGGTTTCTTAATCTTGTTTAGACCACCCATCTACCTTGCTTTATTAAAGAGAAAAGAAGAAAAACCGATCCTCCTATCTGTAGAGAGTACAACACATTAATATAAACAAATTTATAGAGTAGCACTCCTTAATTTCTATGATAAATTGGTAGATTGTGTGAGCGCATCTAACCCTTGCACCATTTTTCTACGCCAAAATGTTGTAAACATCAAAATAGCAAATTAACTCTCATCCATTACACTATTTTTTACACCAAAAGAAAATATTCCTTTTATATTCTTTTCTCTCTTTTATATTATATTATTCTTTTTTTTATTTCATAAAACAAATCCTTTCAGATTTGCAAAACATTATGTTACTTATTAACAACATATTATATTTCAGTTTTATACTTTTTATTTTTTGATGGTTATATATTTTTATACAATTATAATTTATAATAAAAACTAACTTACAATTTTATTTAAAAATAAAATATACGAAAATTAATTTATTAAAATTATACACCAAAATTAAAATATAAAATTAATATTATAAAAATATTACATAAAAACTATAATTAATTACAAAATTATAATATATTTTAAATTAAAAGTGTTATATGATAAAATATAATATTAAAATGACGTTGATGAATAGTGTTACATCAAATTTGGTGTAACACTATTCACATACTAAAATGGTGTTGGGTTGGAGAAAAAAAAGGTCAAATCTTACACTAAAATGAAGTTTGATGTCAAAATTGGCGTTGGGTTGAGATGGTCATAACTAACTGCCCAAGTGGCTGATCATTCCACCCAACAACTACACTCGAAAGTTCTTGACAATTTCGTGCAATCTCCATCATTGATTTATTATAAAAACTAAACAAGTTGAATAGACACAAAAGAAAAAAGAAAAAATAGGAGGAAAGTGAATTCTCCATATTCCAACAGCCGTAATTTTTCCTTCTATTTAAAAGCTATACAAAAATCTATACACAAATATCCACGTATTAATTCTTTGCATTAGGGCTCGTGTACATCTCACTCCATGCAATGAAAGCCACAAAATATATCCTGCAAGTAACCTTCACAAATTCAGGAATATTAGTTATCTTAATGGATATATTAAGCACCCCTGACACAGTTATTGGCGAATCTAAATTTTTTAGAATTTGAGTGTACCGCTAAAAAAAGTAAAACGAAAATATTAAGTGGGAATTAAACCATATTTTTCTCGGTAAATGGTCAAATATAACGAAGTGTATCATTCAATCTTTTTTGAAGCATGAGTGCCAACATATAATATTAGATCAATTCTATAATAATATACGGATAATACAGTTTGACGGAGAGACCATGGATTTACATACCCATAATTTAGGCTATAAATCCGTCCCTGTGCACAATGTACATGTAAATATTTAACATTAAATTCCAGATCACCACCAAGTATGTGTAAATATCACCTAACTCATTGCCAAACTTTTTTTTAAAGAGTTTAACTTTTGCACACTTATAAATATAAAATTTTAAGTCATATTATTCACAGATATTGAAAAACAACTAAAATTATATTTATATCTAAACACAATTATAATTTTCAAATACCATTTCACGTGAAAAAAATTTCACTTTTTTTTTTTAATTTTACAATTGTTATGTCCAAACGCCCACTTATAAGTCAATTACAGACAATCTTTTATTAACAAATATAGATCGGTAACCTACAAAAAGATGATATATACCTTGTTATATTAGGTTAAAATCTCTTTAATAGTATAAAAATCTTTTACAGAAGTGATCAATACATAAGAACCCTTTTGGTCTTTTTCCCCGTTGACCTAATCAGTTTTGACCAAAACCCTTCTTTCTTCTTTTGTCCATTCAATAATCCACCTGATCTACAACCTGTTCTTGCAACAAAAGCTTGTGATTTACTTTTCTTCAAACCGCCTCCGGCGCCGGCGCCGGTACCGATGATGCTGACGAAAGTGAAGGGACCCACAACGTCGGAGATGATCCGGCGGTGGCCGCCAACGCGGGGAGAATTACAAGTGGAAGAAGAAGTAGAGGAAAATAAAGAAGAGGTAGATGAAGATATTACTGCTATTGTTGCTGTCGAAGTAGAAAGCTTACTGAGTCTTTCTCTGAGACAACAAGAACAAACTCCTGGCTGTTGTTTGTGATCTGGATGTTTCTTGCATATAATTTCTGGCTCAGTAAAACCCATTTTTGGATTGCTTATAATTCTTCTCACGTAATGAATTAGTAATGACCAAATTGCATGTGAGTGGGAATAATATATATAGATAAAGTTGATGTTGGGGTACCAAGGAGTCAAAGGAGCGTGTGTCAAGAATGAGTTATCAGTGTGAAATTGGAATTTGTGTCAGCTGTTTTCGAGAGTTTAATTAGGAGAAGACGTAGATTTATGGGGACCGTGTGTGTGGGTCACGACGTTACCGACTTTGCTTCTGTCTTTAAAATCACTCCCCGATGGACTTAATATTTGAAGGTTACGAGTGTACTTTTATATTTAATTAAAGTATTATTTATTTTATGTATAAATGTCATTATTAATATATTATCATTTTTTAAAAATATATATATAAAATTTTTATCAAACTTTTCGACAATGATAAGTCGTAACCTAATTTTACGACATTGGTCCGCCTATGGTCCCAACAGTTTTTTTTAAAAACACTTGTCCAACTATTGTAGACCATTCTATCAATTATGTTTGCGAGTATTCCTTGAAAAATAGTGTTCTTTTTGAACTTAATTTATACGCATGTATCGATAAGGGTCCTTTTGTTACATTATGTATCAATGTCATTTATTAAAGCTAACATATACTCACCATGCATTATTTTCAAATTATTAATTTCACTTTTTATGAGGGGTTATCTATATTTATCGTTTATGTGCTTTTACACTGTCTCAAATTTGCACTATGACTGCAGTTAACTATTTGGGACATATAATGTTGTTTTATATTGCATCAATTCTACTAATTACTGCTCCACTTAATGTTCGATACTTCGACATATTGGAAAGAATTGTTTATGCAAAGTAAATAACATCTACTTTGAAAAAAATCATTCAAATAAAGTTAATTAGTAAATACTAGTACTAATATTTATCTTGCTTGAGTTGAGTATACATGTATATTCTCTAATACTAAAATCTTACAAGCTTAAGAATAAACCAGTCATATATTCAGACTAAAAAAATAAATAATATTTCATACATACTTTTCACTTGTTAAAAAAGCATTTTAAGCTAGTCAAGATATTTTATTAATAGCAATTAAGTATTACAATCTTTAAATTTCTTTGCCCAATAAAAACTATCACATTCATGTAACGTAGATGGAAGCATAAATAAAGATGGAAGAAAAGGGGGTTACATAGGAGTAGTTCAACTGACCCTTTTACTTTCTTTCTTTCTTCTTTTTTCAAAATTTTAGTCAAACAGAGTTCTTTAATTTGTTGGTGCGATACAGATTGGGATCGATTAAGCAAATCATAACGCAAAGGAGGTGTTGAACTGTCTTATCAGTTATCAACACAATTAATCAGCCTGCACATGAGCCTGCTTTTTAAAAGTTTCATATCGTTACACGTGGGGATCTTAAATAATTGTGATGTGCGGGCCAGTATGCAAACACCTAGACTAATTCTATGAGATATCCGTTCTTAGTGGCAAAGTTAGGACTTTTCCTAATGGTGTTCAAATTTGAAATAAGTAAAAAGAGTTTTACATAAAAGGTGTTCAATACTATATGTTCTATACTTTTAAAACCTAATATTTTGCTATATACACAAAGTAATTTTTCGAGGAAGGGTGGTCAATTGACACCCTTAGGACAATGTGCCTTTGCCCCTGCCTGTCACCTCTCACCGGCTGCAGGTACCAAATAACTCTATCCACCAAGACTTGATATATAAGAAGAAATCACCTAGTATTTCTTTGTCTTCCATAAAATTTAAAACAACTTTATTAGAATCGAAGTCCAAGTGAAATTTCTTTCTTATACTTTATGCTTAGACACTTTGTGTATAGCTTTTTATTTACTAGCAATATTTAACTTAAGCGCATGGCATAATTTGCTAAAAAAAGGAAATTTCACCTTCAATATTTTAATTATAATGTATTGCGAGCAAAAATTTAGAAGACCGAAATGTCTTAGAAAACTAGATATATGAAGTGACAATAAAAATATGAGTCTCTTTTCTTTTTCTCCTTTTAAGAAAAAAATTTAACCATAACGGAATTGCTTATAATTGGTTATCAAAAGATGATATATAACATGTTACATCATGTAGAAGTTCACTGATAGTGTAATTTTTTTTTTTTACAGTGAACAAATAAATATACATTGTTTTGTCAAGGATCTATAAAAAACATTCATATACTTTCGCAAGGTGGGAATAATATCTGCGTACACACTACTTTTCTTAAATTCTACTTGTGAGATCTCATTGGACATGTTGTCGTTGGTGTAATATATATATATATATATATACTGCTTTCTCGAGTAGAAGATGATTAATGCACAAGAACCGTATTGGATCTTTTCGCCGTTGACCTGATCAGCTTTGACCAGAAACCTTCTTTCTTCTTTTGCCCATTCAATCCACCTGATCTACAACCTGATCTTGCAACAAAAGCTATTGATCTGCTTTTCTTCAAACCGCCTCCGGCACCGGCACCGGCGCCGATGATGCTGACGAAAGAGAAGGGACCCACAACGTCGGAGGTGATCCGGCGGTGGCCGCCACCGCGGGGAGAATCAAAATTGGAAGAAGAAGTAGAGGATGATGATAAAGAAAGTGGCATGATTGTTGTTGTTGAAGTAGAAAGCTTATTGAGTTTTTCTCTAAGACAAGAAGAACAAACTCCTGGTTGCTGCTTATGATTTGGATGCTTCTTGCATATAATTTCTGGCTCAGTAAAACCCATTTTTTGATAGAAGTATAATACTGAATTTTGGACAAATAGTGTTGGACTAGATAGCTAGCTTGTCACGTAATATGAGTAATTAAAGAACAAATGCATGTGAGTGGGAATATGAAGATAAGCATATATATATATATATATACACACACGGGTGGAGGGTGTGGGTCGAGAAAAATTTACGTAATTGAAATATGAGTCATTGGCCAGTGTGAAATTGGAATTTGCGTCAGCTGCTTTAATTTAGAGGGTTAGGAGAAGGGGGAGATGTATAGGGAGTGGGGACCGTGTGGCTCACGACGACCGACTTTTGCTTCTGTTTTTATGATTCTTCCAACAGTTACGTTTTGCACACATAACTTGTGAAACATTTCTTTAATTTGGACATAACACAACTTCTATTCGACAAATTTTAATTTATGTTCTAAATGAGAAGCATCGGAATAAAAAAACAGAAGGTAAACATAAAGAAATTAAGACCCCAAATTACATGAGTCGCATACGATAAAATAACCCGAACAAGAGAGTATCAGCCGCCAAGGCGGATACACCTTTCGGCTTTTGGCAAGTGATGTCACGTGACACCGCTTCATCAAATTTTTTATTTTATGTATATGGATATAAAAAATGATGCCTCTTTTCGTTTAATGGTTTATTCATTCACGCATTCATTTTTTTCAAAGTTATGATGCCGCTTAACATAAATCCTCCGTACGCCCCTGTTAGTCGCTTTATTATCATTCTGCCTAAACAAATGGAAGGACAAATCATGAAATTGATTCTTCAAAGACAAACAATTCCAATAATCGTATCAAGTTCAGACAAATTAGGCATGAATTGAATTAAGAGCAGTGAGCACCTCTTGACAATCGAATTCAACCATCACCTTATCAATATTTAAGCCTTTGAGACATGAAAGTGCTTCACAAAGAAAGAAAGCTCCAAGCATTATTGGCGTCCAAACAACCAGAAAGAAAGGAGCTGATTGGTAATATTGTATTTTTGTTGCCATACGAAAAGGCTCTTGTGAAACATTTTAAAAGAAAGATATTTGACGCTCCATAATAAAAGAGAAAGGCAGCTACAATAGATTAGAAATAAGATCAGCAACATTATAGTAACTAAAATCAACTCCTAGAGAATATCTCTTTTATTTTTCAAATTACTTCTCTAATTAATGTTCGACAATAAAACCACCAAAGTAAAAGTGGTGGTCATTTTCATTAATAGAAAATTGGTAAAGATATTTCTTACCGTAATTGTTTTCTTTAAGGCTCTAAATCTTAAAGGAATTAATTAAGAGAAAAACCAATGACTCTGACTAAAAAATAAATTTCACTTTTAACAGATAAAAAATTCATATTTTAATCTAGTCAAGTTATTCAGCTAAAAGTAAATGGTATTTCTGTCTTTTAATTTCCGTTCCAAATTAAAAAGTGTCATATTTTCCCAACAACAAAAAAAAAAAAACTACTCCTATCATATTATATATATGAGCATAAAGATGAGATAAGAGGGATACATATTAGTTCAGTGGTCCTTTTTCCTTTATGTGTTCCTTTTTCAAAATTTTGTCAAATCTTGGTCCTTAAAGATGTTGGTCCAATAAAGATTTGAGATTTGAAATAATTAAGCAAAATCTTAACACTAATTGAATAATGGGTGAAGCATTCAACAGTCTTAGCAACACATCCAACCATTTTATTGGGATCTTGTATTAGGTTTGTGATTTTAAAGACAATGTTATTAGAACCGAAATCCAAGTGAAACTTTATTTCTTTTACTTTATGCTTTATGTGTAATCTATTTGTTTCTTATAAAGAATTACTGTTAAATTTAAAATTAGAGTTTAAATTGAACCGGTTAAAAAAAGAGAGTAAGACATATAAATTAAAAAACATGGATTAAGATTTTGAGAAGAAGGTAAAATCAAAGAAAACATTATTGATAATCGATATGATTATTACTTGTAAACAACGGATATTGGTAGGGGCCGACCATAACTAATAGTACTCAATCTCCCCATGTTGTAACATTGACATATTGGAGGATACAGTTAATGGCGGAGCCAAAAGTTTTATCAAGAGAGGTCAGTATATAATATATACTTTTCCGAGGTATCAATATATAATTTAATTTTTTTTTACCTAATTATACAGTATAATAATTTTTCGATAAAGATGTGTTGGTTGATACCTCTTGAGTATATGTAGCTCTGCCAGCAGATACAGCCCCTGCCCTCCTAGTATTATTATGAAATGTAATAACTATTTATATGATTGATTGTGGTTCAAAATTGTCTTCAATAACTACTAAATCATCTTAGTTAGAGAAGCGATAATTAGTATTTTAGTCCTTTTCTATACTTTCTTATCATGCATGTAGAGTCTAGAGATTAAAACCTTTTGGATAGAAGTAAATTTGTAAATTGTTCTCTCTTCACGTATTAATAAAAGCAGCAGGAAATGTCTAATCCAACAACAACGAACAAGAAAATCACTGGAATTCGAGTTCAATCATGACCCACATTAATCATTTGATATATGGTTTCCGCTAATGTTCTGTGGCTTTCTTGTACTAATCAAAAAGCAAGCTTAATTAAGCACTCCACATTCTCTTAAATTCTGAAGATATTTATCCAATCTCCAGTTAATCTTAATTCTTAACGAACTATATGAAGACATTCATTCATTTCAATCTCCGATTAATTGTTCCACGTGTGTTAGACCGAACTTTTGCTCAAAGTGAAAACATAAACACAATCAAAAGCGAATTTAGGATTTGATAGTGGTGGGGGTGGTGCCCCACCGTTGTCAAATAAAACTGTGAGCAAATACTAAAGACGGAATCAAACCCAGACCCCCCCTCCCAATCAACCAATGCAACTATGATCTTAGGGTGCAATTCAAATATATTTAGTATTTAAGATATATATATATATATAAATTTCTTTCAAATATAACCCGGACCGGTGACTCTCCTACCCCAAAGGTAAGTTTACCTCTGAAGTACACAATCATATCATATAATTTAAATAAGTCCTTTCACTTTACAATTACGTGTTCATTTTGCCACCATTTCTATTTTCTAGCTAAGCTAGTTAATGTCGGTTGACAATCAGAACCGACAACGTACGGGACTGTAAATGTTTTTTTAAAAAAAAAAAGATAGATGGACAAATTTGTCTGTATCTAATTTTCCTTCGATTGGGAGAGAAGAAGTATAAGACATTCTGCGCACGTGAGATTGTCTATGAACAAACGACCAAAGGATTTTTAGTTTTTCATTCAAATGATTCTGTTTGTTTTTATTTAATTATTGCATGCATGAATCATGGGGACGTTGTTGCCTTTATCTAGGAAGCTTCCATGCACTAGAGTTTTCTTATAATTTAATGGAATTGATTTTAACCTTCCCATGCACATTTGCTCTTTCTGCTGCAACGTTGCAGTGGCGAAGCCAAAAATATTTTCAAGGGTGTTCAAGTAAAAAAAAATTCCGATAAAGAATATTTAATATATGTTATATACCTATAAAACTTAATATTTTACCTATATACTCAGTGTAATTTTCCGATGAAGGATGATCAGTTGACCACCTTTTCGAGCATGTGGCTTCGCCCCTTGCTGGTTGCCAGTGGACATTCTTGGAATTTGAAATATCTTTATGCACATTTCTTATTCCTAGAAATTAATCCCCATTCTGACCTATTTAAGTGAAATAAACCAACAACAATATATTTTGTGTATTCTCACAAGTAGAGACAGACTCAAAATTTGAAGGTGGTGGATGTATGGGTCAAAATCTGACCACACGTAGATTAGCGCTAAAAGGAGTGATAGGGGGTTGACTAAGCCATGGTCGTACCCACAAGGTGTAATAATGATTAGTATCTCGGCCACTATCGAGATTGAGCTATCAGAAAGCTTGTACGACAAAATATGTATCGTAATGCTTAAGGGGAGCAATGAAAAGTATAATCAAGAGAGAGGGTATTCTGGCTAAAAACCATTGGACAAAAGGGAATATTTACAATATACATAGGAGATAAGAAGACAAAAGGGGGGCTTTTCTCTCTCTCTCTCTCTCCCACAAGGAGGAGGGGGATAGAAGAACAGGAGAAACTCTCCAACAACAATAAAGCGGAAGTTTAGATCTCGGTTGCAAATCTTTGTAATCATCATTGGTGAATCAATAAAGATAGATCTCATAACTATCAATGACATTCCTTCTTTTCCTTCTTTGCTCTTACGTTACAGAACAGTACATCAAAGATTTAAGCTTATTGTTTATATTTGATGTTTTTTAATAATCTCAAAAAGAGTTATAAGCTCGGTTATATTCGATTCTCGTATTCAATGTGCTTAGATCTAGAGTTAATTATTCTTGGCTAAGATTTATCCTCTATTTTCATCATTAATTAGTTTAATAAAAAGCTTAATACTTTTTGGTCGAACAATTTGGCGCTGTCTGTGGGGATTTTTTAGCCAAATTTTTAGTTTCCTTTAGATCTAAAACCAGTCAAGTTTCATTTCCAGGCTGTCATAGCCTCACCATCTCGGTATAAAAACCAATTCGAAAAAGTGATAGATAAGTTTTTGAGATAACCAAACCAATCTGGGTCAGATCTCTACATGAAATCGAAATTATATCCGATGTCTATGCAAAACTCATGCCTCATCTAGCACGTCATATGCATATTTAAAGTAGGATCACGGTCTCTACACACTTAGCATGACCGCTGTCACACCTCCTTTTTCCTACCCTTGAGAAGGGAGTATTAAGGGAGTTTTTTCCAATTTAAGTGACAACCGAATCGGGATTATTTATTTAAAATTAGAGTCTCCACTTGAGATAATTTATGATGTCCCAAGTCACTGATTTAGAATCCTGAATCGAGGAAGGTTGACTCTATTTACGGTCTGCGAACACAGAAATCCGGGTAAGGAATTCTATTAACCCGGGAGAAGATGTTAGGCATTCCCGGGTTCCGTGATTTTAGCACGGTCGCTTTGATCATACTTGGCTTAATCAAATTGTCTAATTGCTTGTTTTGGAACCTATGTGCTTTCACCTATTTCAATTAAGAAATTAACTAAAACGAGTCACGCGTACGTGTACTCATTTCATTTGACGCGTAAAAAATCATGTCACGCAAACGTGTCCACAATTAATAAGGCTTT